GCCCTTGATAGAGTGCCGTGGCATCACAGCCCACAGCAACCTCAAATTCTTGGGCTTAAGAGATTTTCTTGCTTCAGCCTCCCAAGTAGCTGGGAAAATGAGCATTTTCAATGTTGGCATTCAAAGAGTTTGGGAGCTTGGCACATTTCCAGTGTAATTTTTTGGATTAGGTATACTCAACCTGTACAAGGGAACTGAGGCATACAGAAATTTTAAAACTTGCTCAAAGTCACAAGCTAGTAAATAACAGAGCTGTCATTTAAACCCAGGCAGTACAGATCAGGCAGTGTAGAGCTACAGTCTACACTTTCAAAAACACACACACACCCCCCCAAAAACTGTCCCACTCTGTTGCCCAGGTTGGAGTACAGTGGCATCACCGTAGCTCTTTGTAACCATGAATTCCTGGGCTCAAGTGATTTCCCTGCCTCAGTCTCCCTAGTAGCTGTAACTACAGGTCATGCCATCACACCCAGCTACATTATTTATTTGTTTATTTATTTATTTTTGCAGGTTTTGGCTGGGGCTGGGTTTGAACACACCACCTCTAGCATATAGGGCCAGCACCCTACTCCTTGAGCCATAGGTACTGCCCACTACATTTTTTATTTTTTGTAGAGATGGAGTCTTGGTATGTTGCCCAGGCTAGTCTTTAACTCCCAGCCTAAAACAAGGCCTTCTGGCCACACGCAAGGCTTGGTCTCCCAAAGTACTTAGAGTATAGGCCAGAGCCAGCATGCCTGGCCCCTGGAGTTCACATGTTTAATCAACAAGCTATAATGTCTTTCTAAGATAAGCAGAGATTGTTGTATTATTATTATTAGCAGAGTTGCCAGATTTAGCTTAATACAAATCCAGAATTTCAAGGTCAGATAAAAAAGGAAGAATATTTTAGTCTCAAATAAGCATACCCCCCCCACAGCAATATTTGGGACCACTTGACCAATAAGTTATTTGTTATCTGAAATTCAAATTTAACCAGGAGTCTTAATTCAAATCTAACCAGGGGTTGGGGGTTGGGTTCGATAACTCTATGGTCTCTTCTAACTTAGATTCTGTGATGCTTTGTGTACTCAAAAATCTATCTCCCTGGCCAGTACAGGCTAACCCCTGTAATCCTAACTAGCACCCTGGGAGGCTGAGGAGGTTGATTGCCTGAGCTCACAAGTTCGAGACCAGCCTGAGCAAGAACGAGAACCCATCTCTAAAAAAAAAAAAAATAGCCAGGCATTGTGGTGGGCGCCTATAGTCCCAGCTACTTGGGAGGCTGAGGCAAGAGAATCACTTAAGCCCAAGAGTTTGTAGTTGCTGTGAGTCGTGATGCCATAGCACTCTACCAAGGGTGACATAGTGAGACTCTGTCTAAAAAAAAAAAAAAAAAAAACTTAGCTAAATCAGAATAATTTAGGCAAGAGAATTTAATTTAGCTTTAAAGGAAATAAACATGTTTTATTTATTTCCAGGGGAGAGTTTGGCCTAATTGGTTTACCCAAACAATTTTCACCTTTTCCACTGGGTTAAGTCTGCAGAGACCTGAGCCATTTCCTTGAGAGCACAGGTCTCCTGCTGGGCTGGGAACTCTAGAACTCAGGTAATAATGTTCCCTCCCCTTCCCTACTACACACGCAGGTGTACCTTCAGAAAAGCTGTTCAGATCATGTCTCTTCCCACATAACCTCTGGCACTGAAAGTGTCCCAGGTTAATTTTCAAAATGCATGGAGAGATGAAGGTGTAACATCAAAAAACAGAAAAAAATGAAATAAATGAAACGCCATCTTATTTAATAGCCTATGAGAGATGATAGAGACCAGCAGATCGTTAATTGATTGAAGATGCTTGTCCGTGAACTATGAATTTCCATTGACTTGTGGCAAGAATGACAAGGGAATCACTGCACTGAATTTTTCCTAAGGCTGAATTTATTCCACACAAAGGAACTGTCCTTTACTTTTGGATTATTTCCTTCGTACATTTTCAGCATTAAAATACTCTTTCTTTTCTAAAATACGAGGGTGGTGAAACTTCTGCCTGTTTGCTTCTAATGGTCCTTTATTTGGCACTGCTAAGAGTTGAACTTTCAAAAAAGACATTTTCATAGTCAGTGAGTTCCCCAAAACTGCCCACGTGAGTCGACTTTGAGGCGACTTGCCCAGAGTCGTGTACGTGGAGAACGGCTGAGCTGAAACTTGAGGCTGTGTCTCCCTGCAGCCCGCTGCCCCCGCACCTCGCAGACGGGCCGCCCAGGGCCAAACCTCCCAGGAACGACTCCACCGCTTTGAATTCCAGTCGGTCTGGCACGAAGTCTGAACTCCTAATTCAAGGATTAAAAATGCCACACACGCTTGAGTGTGGTCTTTGAGTAAAAACAAGTTCGAAGAAAGTTGGACCCAACGAGCGTGGAGTGCTTTGCACAGGAACCCTTTCATCCGCCAAGCGGCTGGAAAGGCTGTCTCGCCAAGCACCAGAGAGAACGCCGCAATGTTTTCCTCATCTATCTCAGAATGGGGTTGTAAGAAGGGTGGCGACGTTTACAACAAATGGACGGTAAATCAGACCTTCCCTGTCCTAGTGTACATCACACAAAATCGCGGTTTCATTGATAACAATGTCAGCTTTTTGTAAGTTTCTTTTCTCTCCTGTAGGAGAAACGTACATTCAGCCTGAATGTATTAACAATGGATCGTTCCAAATGCTGGCTTTCAATACATGGCAATTCTTCTAGAATTAGAAGAGATAAAAACAGGCAATTTGATAACTTAATGTGAAATCGAGTCTCTTCCGGCCTTAACAATTAAACATAGAAGGGGAAAAACCCAATTCTTATTTACAATAATGCTACCGTGTTGTCATGCTCCCTTAACACTGAAGCAGTAAAGGTCACCTTTATCGTTAGCAGAGGAAAAGATTTGCAGCCAGATTCCCCCCAACCCCCCCCCAGCATTGTTTCACTCACATCTATCAAACTTCCTTTCAGCTGAAAGCTACTCTGTGCTAATGATAGAAAGCGCATTGATGCTGGACTCCCCATATCTTGAGTGGGTAGTAGGGTCCAGATTTCTAAAACATAAAGTCATTAGTGGTCAAGTAACTCATTTCCTTGGTAGAACACACGATTATTCAGTCATCGATTCAAAGGCATTAATTCAAAGGCACATAATCAGCCTCCTCCGTGTGAGTCACTTAAAAATTCTGTTGTCTGAACTGAAAAAGCACATCTTAATAGACAACATATTTTCAGCGAATACTTAATATAAGGCACCATGCCAAGAATCATGTAGGAAATCAAGAAAAACAGAATGATGCAGTATGATGCCAAGATGAAATGAACAACAAGAAGAAAGCACACATGTCTGCATGCCTACAGGTGGTTAAACTGAAAGACAGACACCCAGAGATGAACGAGCACCAACTTCATGTGCTGGGATTCCAGGCGACTTGAATGTTCTTCTTTTTGGCCTGACTGCATTTTTATAAGCCGTGTCGAATGAACATGCATTGCTTTAAAGTGGTTTCTTTTTTTTTTACTTTTGGTTTTTTTGAAGAAGATACACAAGACATAGTCCCTGCCCTCACAGGGCTTCTGGTGTTTGAGGAGTAAACATTATTTTGGGGAGGAGTGAGGTTGTCTGAGTAGAGGGTAAACTGACTACTAATATCATTTTTTTTCTTTTTTTACCCAGTTCATCAAAAACCACATTCCCATGGCAGTAATATAATAAACTGAGCTCACATTCCAAGAACAAGCCAGTAAATAATTTGTTCAATTATATTCAGTGGGAATTAAACTTTTATGGTCTTTTCTTTCTTTCTTTCTTT